TTAGAGTTGACAAAGCTTGTGACGATGTCACCAGATTCGATCTTCTCTCTGACAAAGTGACAATCTATCTCAATATGTTTGGTCCTCTCATGGAAGACTGGATTTGAAGCAATGTGCAATGCAGCTTGATTATCACATACAAGTGTCATTGGTCTTACTTATTCAATTTTAAATTCTTTGAGCAATTGTTTTAACCAAATGAGTTCATATGTTGCCATTGCCATGGCCCTATACTCTGCCTCGATACTTGATCTTGCAACTACATTTTGTTTCTTACTTTTCCAAGATATAAGGTTTCCTCCAACAAGTACACAATACCCAGAGGTCGATCGTCTATCAATTGGTGACCCTGCCCAATCAGCATCATAGTATCCAACTATCTGAGTATGTCCTTTATCTTCATACACTAAACCTTTTTCTGGAGCACATTTCATGTATCTTGGAATTCGGATAACAATATCCATGTGTTCCTGACAAGGGGAATTAAAGAATTGGCTTACTACACTGACTGCAAAAGAAATGTCTGGACGAGTGACTGAGATGATTCAACTTTCCAACCAATCTCCTATACCTTCCTGAGTCTGATAGAGGCTCCCCCTGATTGGGTAGTAGTTTGACACTTGGATCCATAGGAGTATCAACTGGTTTAGCATTCAACAAACATGTTTCTTCCAAAATATCCATAGCATATTTCCGCTGAGAAATCACCAAACCATCTTTAGATTGGGCTACCTCAATACCCAAGAAATACTGGATTTTACCAAGATCCTTTGTCTGAAATTGGTTTGAAAGATGTTGTTTCAACTTGAGTATTCCCGACTCATCCCTAACAATTATGACAGTATCATCTACATACACAATAGTATAAATACACCCTTGGACTGAGTGACGATAAAAGACAGAATGGTCAGCTTCACTACGGACCATACCAAATTGTTGTACTACAATGCTGAATTTGCCAAACCAAGCTCTCGGAGATTGCTTAAGACCATAAAGAGACCTGTGTAGCCTGCAAAACATATTCGATGACTCCCACTGAGCAACAAACCCAGGTGGTTGCTCCATATATACTTTCTCTTCAAGATCATCAGGTAAAAATGCATTTTTTATGTCAAGTTGATGAAGAGGCCAATGTCGAATGGCTGCAATGGCTAGAAGAAGTCTAACATATTCCATCTTGTCCATAGGCGAGAAGGTATCACTATAATCCAACCCAAAAATTTGAGCGTATCCCTTGGCTATCAAGCGAGCTTTAAAACGATCAATCTTACCATCTGGACCAACCTTCACTGTATAAAGCCAACGAAAACCTACTAAATATTTTCCAGTGGGTAGAGGAACTAGTTCCCAGGTACCACTGCTTTGAAGAGCACACATTTCATCAATCATTGCTTGCCTCCACTCAGGGTGAGATAATGCTTCACATGGAGATTTAGGAATAGAAACATAAAACAAAGAGGACAAACAAGTATACTACAAAGGGGAAAGACGATGATAACATAAATCAATATAATATGGAGAAAGATTTCGTGTTTGACGTATACCTTTGCGAAGGGCAATCAGAAGATCAGACTCAGGTTGCAGGATATAATTCGGTGATGGCGATAGCGTCAAAGGAGAGTCTGCAATGACCTCAGGGACATGTACAACCTCAGGGACAGGTATGACAGATGTTGGTTTACGATGCTGATATGTTTGAAGTGGGAGAGAAGTGGGGGGGGTCAACCGTAGGGTTTTCTCGTGGGACAGGTTCCCTAGAACGATGGGGAATAATGGGAAATGGGAAGCCCGAAAGAGGTGTGGGAGTACTTTCCTGAAGGGGTTCCAGAGTGACTTGGATGGACACAAAATATGGCACAAACTCGAAGAAGGTAACATCGGCCGATATCAGGTATCGTTGCAGAGTGTGTGAGTAGCAACGATAACCCTTTTGGGATTGATGATAACCAAGAAAGACACACTTTAGTGATCGAGCTGATAGTTTATCAAGACTAGGGGAAAGATTATGCATAAAACATGTAGACCCGAAGACTCGAGGAGGAATTGGGTGAAGAGGAGAGTTTGGAAACAAGATTGAATAAGGGATTTTATTATTAAGGACAGATGAGGGCATGCGATTTATGAGATAACATTACATGAGCACAACATCCCCCCAAAATCTGAGAGGGACATTACCATGGAGAAGTAGAGTCCGAGTGGTTTCTACGAGATGCCGGTTTTTGCGTTCGATTATCCCGTTTTGTTGAGGTGTATGAGGGAAAGATGTTTGGTGTAAAATACCATTGGATGACATAAAAGTTTGAAATTGTTGGGATAAATATTCACGTGCATTATCACTTCTTAAGGTACGAATGGACAAACCAAATTGGGTTCTTATTACTCGATAAAATTGTTCAAAAATAGAAAACAATTCATATTTGTTTTTCATTAAAAATAGCCACGTGCAACGTGAAAAATCATCAATAAATATTACATAATACCTAGACTCAAAAGTAGACACAGTACGCGATGGACCCCAAACATCAGAGTGAACTAAAGCAAAAGGGGACGCATCCCGTTTATTGACTCGATCAGAAAAGTGACTACGAGTATGTTTCCCTAATTGACAAGACTCACACTGTAAAGTGGATAATTTAGATAAACTGGGCACCAACTTTTATAGCTTGGAAAGACTTGGATGGTCTAACTGCGCATGTATAATGAGTGGAGAGTCTGTGGTGGAGCATGTGGTAGATGACATAGAGAAGCATGCATAATGAGTGGAGAGTCTGTTAGTAAAAGTGATAGAACAATTAAGGGAGCGAGTTAAACGACTGACTGACAGTATATTAAATGGGCAATTAGGTACGTATAGGACAAAAGTAACAAAGAGACATGATAGAATTTGAACAGTACCGATCCCTTGGGATCGGGTTTGATAACCATTTGCGGCAGTTATACTCGGTAAGAAACCAGAGGTAGAAAGGGAAGAGAAAAGATTTTTATTACCAATAACATGATCAGACGCACCAGAGTCGAGGACCCAAGGACCAAGAGGAGATGATTGATAGACGCAAACAGATGAATTACCAGTGTGTGCAATCGAAGTCGTGGAACCAGAGGTCTGGTTAGTCTGACACCACATGAGAAGATCCTCGTAGCTTGGCATAGGGTTCTGAAGAGAAGGTGAAGTTTGCATAGTGTCTGGGTTATCAATTTAAGTTGCATTTACCTGCCGTGGAGTTTTGCCATGCAACTTCCAACAACGATAGATAGTATGGCTAAGTCGGTTACAATGGTCACACTTAGGATGAGGTTTGGAGTTGGATGACCCTCCTTGAAGGCGATTCTGATTGTTGCCAAGAGATGCAAGAAGAGCAGTGTCACCTGGTGTTGGAATAGCAATAGATGAAGGAGAAATTGGGCCAAACGCATGAGTTGTAGCCAAGCGCAACAATTATTCACTAATTGTATCATAGTTAAGAATAGTAGTACCTGATAAAATCTGGTTACGAACATATTCGAGTTCTTATGGTAGTCTTTTAAGTGCCATGACCATGGAATATTTACTTTGCTGTTTGGCATGAGCTATTGCATCTTTTGCGTAAGACATGAGAGTTACGTAACTTACTTTCAAGGCATCAAGCTTACTCAGATAAGCTTGCACATCTATACTTTCCAACTTTAGTGTGTTGAGTTTGTGGATGACACTGTATAGAGAATGAACGTTGTTGGAAAAGACTTTCTTGGCCTTTTGCCATACCTTATAACAAGTGGAGAATGCTTGGTACTGCGCTTGGAGGTTAGGTGCTATGAAAAACCACAACACAGTACACAAAGAGGCATTCGTTTTCTTCCATTTAGCGAGTTTGACGGCTGCAACGTCACTCAATTGGGTGGTTAGATGCTCTTCATATCCTTGACCGTGAAACCACATCTCGACAGCACGAGCCCATATGTTATAGTTGGCTGATCCGATTAGTTTTTCACATGGGATAAGCGAAACTTTAGTAAACGAGATAGAATCAGCATCTCCCATGGCTTAAAACACAACAACTGGGGTTGTTTGAACAAGAGTACGACTTTCTGTGAGTCAAAAACGAAAACCGAGGGCGGATCTGGAATCAGAGGAGGAAGGCGATTTTTCGAGAAATTTTTTTTTTCGTGAACAGCGGCGTTGATGAACAGTGGCGGCGGTGAACATTAGTCCTCCGAGAATTTTTTTTCCATAGACTGTGCTTGGCGGAAGGTCGCTGAAAAAAAAAGTGAGGCAAACCGAAATGATGACACGACTTGCAGAAGAAAATTCCTCACCGGAAGACAGTGGATCAACCGGGTAAAGCACGACGAAGAATTGCCTCTTAGAAGACTCTAGATACCATATTGAATTAGGAGAGACTAAGAGACATTTAGGTTAAACCATGTGGGACTATTCTACATACAAATATTCTCAATATTATATATTTACAAATATTAAAAACAATGAATTGACTTAATTACAAAAATAGGGTTACTCTCTATTTATAGATTTAGGTTAGTTTGCCAAAACTCAACTATAAAAACACAAAATAACTATTTTGGAAATAAATCAAATCTATTCTATTTTAGATTTTGATATAAATCTAAAACAAATCTAAATCCAAATCAAATTTGTGTGCAGTCTGTTTCAATACACAAACTCTTCGACTGGACAATAGTTTTCATCAAACAACCTGTTTTGATAACATCTAACTCTTCGACACACATAATTTCGACACTATGAATTATAATTTACCAGAAATAATATCCATATAACTACTAAAGAAATTGCATAGTGATGTCCAACTCGTAATGATATCCCCCAACTAATACAACGGAACATCATTGTAAATTTCATATAAGGAAATTCCAAAATGATTAATACATAAAAATATGTCAAAAAAAAAAAAGAAGAGTCTATTCCAGCAGAAAAAAAAAAACTTTACAGTAATAAATATTAATAACTAAAGGGTGGGCATCCAAAGGTTCTGAGCAGTATGAAATCATTGTGTAGGTGGTGAAGACAATGAAAGATTCAAAAGCAACCCAAACAAGACTCCAATAAAGCCCACAAACATAGCAAAAGTGAAGGAGAAACCCGGATCACTTCTACTTCTTCTCCTTTTCAGCATGTCCTGTTTATCCAAAAAAAAAAACATATGAGTTTGGATTATTGATATTTTAGTCATAGACATTAGTACTCAAACACCATATGATCATAGAATATTGTAGGACAACATGTTGCATAATTACCAGTTCCTGTTGCAGTTGCCGTGTTTGTCTGACAGCGACATCTCTTTCCTCCTTCAGGTGTTGCAAGGGTTGATTCTTCAAAAAAAGACAATTTAATTCAGTTCAATCAAATTTAAGCAATGGATTTTAAATAATGGTTTGTAGTGAAGCAAAAGACATATGTAATGCCATAAAATTAAAATTATGAACTGGTTTCTCTAGGGGAGAACCTGAAAAACTCACCGAGTAAGCATCAAGTTTTTGTGCGGATTTCTTTGTTGTATCATATCTAGTGCTTCCTCCAGGTGAGGTAGGAGAGACATATACAACTTTAAGTTTCAATTCTTCTGTTAACTTTCCACTATTCTTATTAAACTGCAAGCAAAAAAACATGAGCATGACCATTTTTTCTTATTCAAATTTGTAGGAATGGTCCTGTAAAACAAGGTCATTGGCTCTCTTACGGTATCTGGTGGAAGATCATCAACATCAGAGTTTGGATCCAGTGCTGTAGTTTGTATAAGAAACTTATCTTTGCTTTGCATGTCAGGAGGATATTCTTGTTGGGCTTGGAGGGTCACTGTGCATCACAAAACTGGAGTATGATAGAAGCTAAAGAAACAAGATTTATAAATGTTTCTACAATAGTGACAAGAAGTACCTCTGATGATGCAAGAGTCCCATGAGTGTATAACACCAGTGTTAGGCCGAACAAAGTACTTCTTCGGTGAAGTAGTCTTCACCTAGCAAAATAATATAACAGTAGGATCAGTTTGCAGACATGCACTGAAGAACCAGTAAAAAAGCATTTATAGATACAATAACTTTTTTTCTCAGTCCTGTAAGGAGAGTTAAGAAGGTACCTTAAAAGCAACGAAGTTCTCTGTCTTATTCAAAACTTTAAGATCGCAAAATGTTTGCTTCTCCAGCTCAACTGATAACATGAAGATCAGCAGTTTAACCACATAAGAACTCAAGATTAATGAAGATAACAAAAGGGAAACAAATTAGGATTACCAATTCTCACACTTTACAAACACTAACAAAGTTTTACAAGCATTGCCTTTAAAGTTCAAACTTCAAAACATCTTTCATTAGAGTATTCTGTTTGCCTAATTGATTTTACATAAAGTGAGAAACCAAAATTCAAAGTTAAAAAAGAAAAAAACAAGTGAAGTGGAAGTGCTCCTTGCGTGAAATGTGACTAGTAACTACACAGAACTAAACCGATTCTCCGGTGTAATCAAAGAGAATACTTAAATTTTTTTAACAATAGTTTTACTGGTCTATTCCGTTGAAACCTATAACTACTATACTAGTTTTATGATAGGAAAAAAAATAAAATATATATATATATATATATATATATATATATATATATATATATATATATATATATATATATATATATATATATATATATATATATATATATATATATATATATATATATATATATATATATATATATATATATATATTAGGAAAAAATTAAATGTTAAAACAAATTAAACATAACTTCAAAAACAAATAATCACAATAGTTTTGAGTGTTTCTTTGAGTTATGTGTAAAAGGTTATATAGAGCTAAACTTCTTATTCTCAATAGAACAAGACATTCTCGCATATAATAGGTACCGTAGTTATTAGTTTTAACAATGTAGCCATGCCTACTTTTGTGAGTACCCAATTAGTTTCAAAATCACTGTTTCATTTGATTCTATCTAGACCATATAGATTATAGACAAGATATATTGATAATTGAATGAAATCTAAAATGTAAATCTTTTCATGGTATAATACAAATAATTTCCCCAAATTGGATGGATTTGTAATTGAATATTAAAACATGGATTTGGGTTAAAAACATGAAGAAGAAGAATAGAGATAGATTACATACATTGGAAACGTAGCTCGGGAGGATTGATGGATATGAATGAATTTTCAATAGAATCAGTCGTCATGGCGAAGGGATCCAAGTTTCTAGAATCACGCGTTAATTGGTAGACGCTGAAGGCCGCTTCCATTCACATTCGCAACAATATCATCAAGAAACAGCGTGAAAAACATGTGTGTTTTGCGATGGAAACGCGAGAGAGGGGGTAGTTTGGAAGTGAGTTGTTTTGGTGCAGCGGAACCGAACCGTTCTGGTGTTATGTTATGGGAATGAATGAGAGAAGAAGCATTAGAGTGATAAAGATGTTGAGAGAGAAACGGTGCACGTGTCAAAAGGAGTTAGATTGACGTCCGCTTCAAAAGTGCGTGTAATACCGGACTGACTAAATCTGAACCAGCAACTTTTTTATAATTAAAATAACACACCATAACGTCCCAATAATAAATAAATAATTAAATATATAATTCTCTATCAATAGAATCACTTTTCATTTTCCTTCCTCAAATATTTTTTGTTGTTGTGATTTTACACTCGTAAAACAAAGATTTTATTTTTATTTAATGTTTCATTTCAGAACTAACAATTGTTTAATATTGTTTTTCACTATTGCATATTGGATTCAAATAATAGAGACATAAATTCGAACTTATCTAAAAGAATTGTATGAATCTTCACCGTTTTCACCCATGACTTCGTCTTTTCTAATTGATTTGTCTTTTTCTAAAAAAGGTTTTTAATTTTGAACTCTAAGTTATTCATGCATAGTAAAAAAGAATAGAAATTTGATTCTATTTCATTTTTCATTTAATGTATTATATAATAATTCAAGTCAGCAAGTCTAGAATTATACTTGTAAGATTCTTCACTCCATTTAGCCAAACATTAAATAAGGACTTCTGAAAACATAATTCTTTTTTATATGGATAAAATCACAAAAAAAAAAATACTTCTGAAGAAAAATTAAAATTCACCCTTTTGATAGGTGGTCGTATATTTAATCCATAAATAAATGAGAGTATAATGAAAAATTGTTATTCTTACATCAAATTCTTATTCATATGGTGAATGATAAAATATTATAATAATAATATGGTTTTTAATTAAAAAAATATTTTTTAAATATATTTTTTAAAATTTAAGGAGTACCGAAAAAATATGTAATTAACCAAGTTCATAATTCCATTAACCAACATATTACATTTTATTAATCAACTTCATAATTTATTAATTAATTTTTTATATTTAATTAACCAACTTTATTTTCCTACTAAAAAATATTTTTAATATTCGGATGTGTATTAACCAACTTCCATTATTTTATTAACTGATTTTTTACATTTTATTAATCAATTTTATTTTATTACTAATTTTTTTAATATTTGGGCGTTTATTAACCAATTTAATCATTTCATTAACTTATTTTTTACATTTTATTAACCAACTTTATTTTATAGTTAAAAGTCAATATTCATATAATGTTTGTGGACACTATTTATGGTTATTGTTCATGTATTGTTCTCGTCACTGTTCATGTTAGTGTTTATATATATATATATATATATATATATATATATATATATATATATATATATATATATATATATATATATATATATATATATATATATATATATATATATATATATATATATATATATATATAAAACACTATTCACCGTATAAATACGGTGAACAATGTTTGGTGTAAGTATTGGTGTACAAATGAGGTGCAGAAATAGCATTCCTGAAGTATTATACTTACGATTTAATGGATATGCATGTAAAATAGTAAATTTACAGTTTGTTATGTCATTAAAAAAAATTTAAATAAAAGGATGATGTGTCCAGATACGTGATCGTGATTGATTGACAGTGTAAAATTAATTTATATTCTAAATATATCACTCATTTTCTCTTATACTTACACTTTTGTAGATATGAAATCGTGATAAATAAAAGAGACTATAATAACTTTAATAAATTATTTTCATTGATTGTTGATTATTCGTATATTTTAATTATCTAATGAAGGAAATATTAACTTGTGTATTAATTAGATAATATTATTTCTGGTCTTTAATATGAGAAAAAAAATTATTTTTTAGATTTATTTAAAAATCTATGTATACTAATTTTTCAATGAATCTAAAGAGTAATTTTTTTCTTAAATTATGGATCAAAGGGAGTACAATTTAAAGATAAAAATTAAAATTGTATTGAAAATTAAAAATGACATTTATTTATTTTGAAGTAAATAATTTTTATTTGACATTTATTTTGGAATGAAAGGAGTTGTTTTAGACTGTCTAGAGGGTCCAATAACTATAGCTCAAAAGGCAGAATGATTTACAGAGTCAAGCATGGGAGATGTGCACTATAATTGGCAAGGAAACAAATGATCTTAACCTAAAGATCAATCAGACAAATTATCCCATCTCACGTCGACAAATTAGCAAACTATTATAACCGACTTACTATATAAAGGGAGAGCACATCATTTCACAAACGCAAATCTCATTCACTTCATCTTACTTTTGCACTAACTTGAGTGTTGGAATGCTAACGTTGCAGTTCTATCTCGCCTCCATTGTGCTGGAAGCTCGATTCCATCGTTACAATCCATATTCAGCGTTCACTGGTCAATTATGGTTCTTGAGTGGAACCGTGGAATCGTCTATGGGAGTAGATTTATGATTCCCGTGTTTTTTCACATTCGAACATTCCCCTCTCGATTAACTAAATTAAAGCTTTCTTGGCCTATAAATTCATATCTCCTGAATTTGAATTGTATGTCTTTGTTCTTAATCCTCTACGATTAAAGATTAATATTACTTTTCAAATTTCATCCAGATCCATCAACATTGACATGTTATAGATCTATTCACTCCGTTGGATAGTGCAAAGCAGCCACCACTGCTCGGGCTACCAAAGATTCATTACTTCTTCCTCAAAATGATAGCGATTAAGTCCTTGTGGAGTATTCATTTACGTTATTGCCTCAATATATTGTCTAACCTAGGGCCCCTTAAGGTGTTTTTCAACCTCTCTCATTTTTAGGGTCCGCTCCACAATTTCAATAAGGAGAACCATTGCTCATATCTCTTGCGGAGCCGACAGTACTTATACCAAAAATGTTCTCTTATTTTTAGCTCTTGTTGTTGGGTGAGAATATGGATTATTAGAGATTTTTCAAAATTACTCGCGGAAGATTTAGATTGAAAATATAAGAATTATACTTTTATTAAAACTTGATCACGTTAACACTTAATCACTTCACAAATATCAAAGATGGCTAAATGATGACATATAAAGATATTCAATTGATTCAGTTGTATACTTCACGTGGCGTGTTTATACAACAATTCAATTATAACGGATTCTAACCTCAACAGTTTCTCAGAATTTAATCACCACTAAAGCTCGATTAGGCATCAACTTTAACAAAATCTAACCTTACATAATAAACCTCTACCAATTGAATAAACTATAAACTACGTTAAGAATTGAAAACTTAAGCATGCAATATCCTACAAAAATTAAATGCGAGAGTGAGAGAGAGAGGAGAGAGAGAGAGAGAGAGAGAGAGAGAGAGAGAGAGAGAGAGAGAGAGAGAGAGAGAGAGAGAGAGAGAGAGAGAGAGAGAGAGAGAGAGAGAGAGAGAGAGAGAGAGAGAGAGAGAGAGAGAGAGAGAGAGAGAGAGAGAAGACACCAAAAACTATAGTGCTTCAACGTTCGTTATCTCTTTGCCTATTATACTCTTTAATGGTTTCCCATTAGAACCTACTTTGTTCTATTTTATTTTGACAAATATTGTAAGAGTTCATACAATCACTTATCCATAATAATATTGAGATGAATAAATCTCCTATCTAGATCTTGGCTTGTATAGAATGTAATTCTAAACTCTTTCGCATAATCTTTACTCGATTCACGCTTATTGAATCTTCTAGTATCACCAATATGCTCCAATGAATTGTCTAAAGATTTGAGAAGAACTCCACCTTATTTGCAGCCTTCCACACGGTCACTACCAAGGTAATATGAAGAAATTAACTTCTTTCTTTTCACTAGAATTATTCAGCACCAATGACAATAACCTCAATCTTGTAAGCTACCTAGAAATCTCAACCAAATCTTCTAGAACAATTAGTTTCAAGATGGTGTCTCTCTTAATCAATTACAAATCTTTCATGATCAAGATCTGAAATCAAACTGGAGTTTGAAGATGAAATAATTTCTTTGCAAGGGTTTTGAATTTTTCAAAAGTGACATGGTATTGGTTTCACATAAAATCACAATATTAGTTATGAGATGATTGTGGGATCGAATGCAGGTTGGTGACACATTTTAAAAATTGCTTGATGTTGATCAAGCATTTTATTCTTGAGAAAGGTTGATTTTATTTTTTTGTCCTACTATTTATTTAGTCAATTTAACTAACTAATAAAGCAAAAAACAAAGTACAAACAAGAGGATAGGGGTACATTTGTTACATGTGGAATAAAAAAATGAAACTAAATAACATCGAGTTTAAAGCCCATTAACAACAAACAATAAAAACAAAAGAAAAAATAAAACACGGGAGTACACAACAAAAATGGTTGCACACAATAGAGGAGAGGTCCCCAAGGCCCGCCTTATTCTTTAAAACCATAGTTTCCATAAAATAATTAGTTAAAAATTAAAAATTAAATGGAATAAAAACAATGTTAGGAGGTGTGAGCAGCAAGAGAAGGGTTTGGACCAACAACATTGCAATAGCCTCATGGGCCTGAGGCCCATCTCCCCATAATAATAATATTTTTTTTAAATAAAAAGAAATAATTAATAGTTTTTTTGTTTTATAAACGAGAAAACGGATTTGTTTTCAAAACAATTAAGTGAAATAAAAAAGAATTAATTTACGAAATAAAACTTTTATCTCCCATCTCACGATTTTCCAAACTCCTTCTTTCTCTCTTCCAAATCTCTCCACTCTCTCACATGGAAACAAAATTGACTAAAAACAACCAAATTAAAAATGAAAACCAAGCAAAATCTACCTCGAAAATAGAGAGTTGGCGGTGA